CAAGGACTGCAAAGAAAGAGCTCAGAGGGGGAGACTCGAACACTTCGGGTGCAATTTGTTCGATGTGTGCAGGTTTAGGTGTAGCCCCAAGTTAAAAATTAAATGCTATAACATCACAGCTTACCAGATTCTCATCAGGTCTAACACTTAAATTGCTTAACACTTGCATTTTGAATTTTGGTGGACCAAGACAGTTCCAAGATCCTTCATTTTGCATTTTTAGGAATCTCTGTCTGCCTTGCTCAGAATTGTTCATGATTGATCACATAGCTGGTGCAGCTTCTCTCTGTCAAACTTCCTAAATTGATTGAAATATATGTTTACAAGACAAATATGTATAACTTAATAAAATATCTCACCATACAATAAGTTTGAGGTGAATGGTGCTGACAAGAACTGATACGCTTGTTCCAGGCATCACATTGTACAAACTGAGTATGTGTGACTTAGGAAAGGTCAAAAATCTTAAAATAGCTGATGTCCAAAAGCTCATTCTCTCCCTCAAACTCTAGCACAGATAACGTCACCACTCAATTACTGTTGCACTCATTTTTTTCTTTTTCCAACACATCATGACATTCTGATGCCAGATCATTTTTGATGTCTTGTAACCAAACCTTGCAGGGAGGCTGGATGACACACATTTTTATCTGGATACTTGGGTTTAATTCAAGTGACAGCTGGATTTTTTTTCTCCAGCTTGTTCCAATGTTAAATAGATACATGTTAAAGACTCATCCATGCACCTTCTCTCAGAGGTACCAGATGATCTGATATATGCAATTCATTAACAGAACATTTGTTTCCCCAGGAGCAATACATGTGTCACTTGTGCTCCAAAGCAATACACCTTTCTTAAAAAATCTGCACGTTCTTCCTTCTAACCCATGGGACAGACAGCGAGTAGGGGTGGTATATTGGGCCCTCATCCAATGCAGAGCAGGTTCAGAGGTTCAGGGGACCAGTGCCCCATGCTGAGGACTTCACAAGGCCAGGCTTCAAGGACCTCTTCTGTCCAGACCCTGATCTGCACCACGTGCCGGTTCGTGATGCAGAGTCCTTCTGCAAGTCACCTTTGCCTCCTCTTTGCCCAGGTGGCAAAAGTAGGGGAGTAGGAATTTAGGGTGAGGAAGGATAGGGCACCAGGCGTGCGTAACTATCGGCATGTTGCTGGCCACTCTCCCCAAATGCTGGAGGATCCTCCTGCATCCAGTGGGGTCACAAGGAGAGAAATGAGAGCCTTGCATCATGGAGATGGCAATGGCATGGGGCCATTGACAGAAGGACTGACAAAAAATATCAACTTTTTTCTCACTGAAAGCTTGAAAGATCTTCCAGAGTTTCTTGGCGGCATTAATACATATCTTCACGTTAGTTACCGACAATGTGGCATGAAAATCTTTTGTATGAAGTTAAATCACAGCCTGTGTCCATGAAGTTTTTAAGTTTTCAGTTCAGAATATAAGCCAGCCAAATCACTAAGCTGTCCCAGTGCAAGTGACGAGGAATCAGAGCTGGCATGCTGCCCCACACTGCTTCCCTCTCCTTGCATCTCAGCAGAAGTCCTGTCTGGCCCAATTTCTTGAATCAGATTACAAACTACTATTATAGTCATACCTTAAAAGCCTTGGAAGAACAAATCTATAGTTAATGGGATGTGTTTGTAATCTCACGCATGTTTTACCCAATTTTGATTTCAGCGGTCTACATATGGAGGTTACTGCCTGTGCACTCACACCATGTCGCAAGATGGTCCTGTGTTTTGAAGACCAGCCAGAGTCTGAGTCAATACACACTTTTATGTACTTTCAGACAAAACTTACATTAGATTACCAATGATTACACCACCAATTATAGGGAATAAAATACCATCCCACCTCAAAGGGAGTCTTCTACATATATCTACGGATATAATACCGTGTTTAGAAATATAACATAATACACTGCCGCAAGCATGATCTCTGTCCTGTCGTAGTGACAGTATGGAATAATCACCTAATTAAAAGATTTTTGTGGTTGTGCTGCAAATATAGTGGCATCCAGACTTCAATAATCAAATGTTGGGGTTTACACCTTGATTCTGCTGCAATGGAGAGTTAACAGTCTTCAAACACAGCCTGCTGATGCTGACGGGTTTGAGAAGCACAAAACCTTTAGTGAATTGTTCATGCAATCATCATCTACAGTAACGAGATCCGAGAGGTGATCTATTTCCTTTTACATTCCCTCAAAAATGTAACCCCTAAATAACACATCTAAAAATTCTCAGAAGACATGGTCAAGGATACACTATTTCTTAACACGTAATCAAGACCTAATCCTTACTTTAATTTAGATTTGTAAAGTGGGATAACTGCCATTCCTCACGTCTGGACAGCCATAACATTTTCTGACCCAGACAAATACACAACAGCTAATGGTTATCTAATTTAGCAAGATTATTGCCCAAATAATTATAATAACAATAAAATAATAATGATGGTTATCTAATTTAGCAAGATTTTTGCCCCCTTCTATTCCTTCCTTTGGTGCAAAGGAAAAAACTTCCCCTGCTTCTCCCTTAACGGGAACTATCTGAAGGGATGCTGTGAAATTCAAAGCTAACTTGTCTTTACTGTTTCCACTTGCCAAGGTAATGCTTTCACCCGCTGCCCCCAGCCTACAATTGACCACACTTTCCACTGCGCATCTATTACAACTCCAGCCGCTGCCCCGTGCTTTCCCTCCTTTGCGCAGCAACTCACAGTCACCATCTGTGCTGTTTTCCCTGAAGTGCATAAAATGAGAGTGATTTTCATGCTGCACTGCATACGGGAAGTGCAGGCACACCAAAGCGCTCTCAACATCTGGACACACACAGCTGTTTTAGCAACGACCACAGGTGCTGAAATGTCACCCAGCAACCACAAAAAGAAGGTGCTGCAGGTTGGGCCATAAGCTTCATCTGGGATTCATCTCATCCTATTTTAGCGGTATAAAGGGTAAGCATCTGAAATAATCACATATGGCCCCGCATGGTCATCAGGGAAGTGTTGAGTGACTCAGCCACAGGCTGTAATGCCATTGCAGAGATCATAGGACATCCCACCTGGCCTCCACATGCTGCTCCAGATTGCAGGTCTCCTCTAGATCCTGGATCCTACTTGCCAGCCCCTAGAAATGTCACAGACTCCATAGGGTGTCTAAGCTGACACCAAGGCAGCTGAATCAAGCCCCACAGAGGGCCCCACTTGAGACAAGACCTAGCAACACTTGTACAAAAAATACATAACTAGTTACATTTAGGAGCTGAATCCCACCTTGAATCCCAACCATCATAGAATGATCTGGGTTGGAAGGGACCATTAGAAAGACCATGTAATCGTCCCGCCCATCATGGTGGGGACATCCTGCAGTGGGTAAGCCTCTGCTCCAGGTTGTAGGCATCTAAAATTAGGCATGGAGAACTACATCCCAATGGTCTCTCATAGGTATCTACTGCCATCAAACTTCACCACCCTGGCTCCAGCCGCTTGTTCGGCTTTAGATGTAGAGATGTCTATAGATGCACCAGTTTAGCTGTCTTAATTCATGACCTGAATCTAACCAAAGGAGTAAAGCAAAAGATAACCAGGCCCAAATGCTTTTCCTAAAACATCAGCACCTCTTCACCCTTCTGTGCACACACTACTCAGTGAAAAGTCAATGTTCTTTGCTTTAGTGTCTTCTGAACATTTGTCTTGCTATTGCTAAGTAAAATCAGGTAAGATTTTTGCTGAATTATGTTGCTTGAATAAACTACACCAGAAGTACCCAAAATCAGTTTGTCTTTCAATCACCAGTATCTTCAGAAAATGTCATATATACTCCTTATGGTAAAGTTCAATCATTAAAATAATCGCTTGGTCAGTAAAATCAATTAATAAAATTTTGAGCAATAAATAAATTCCAGCTTAAAAAAATAGAAAAAAAAACCAAGAGCCAACTCTTCAGCTGCTGAAAACTTTTATTTTTTTTTTTACTTCATACACCTGTTATGAAGGCTTGTACAAAAAAATAAAACAAAATCCCAGTATGGTTTTATTGATGTTAAAACTGCAGCCTCATATTTTTTTAGCATTTGCTGTAAATATGAGGAGGGGGAAGAAAACTGTCAATTAATCTACTGAAAACACTTAACCTTTTGTAGATTATGTCATGATTGTTGCAAAGAGGATTGACTAAGACTTCTTTTTTTTTAAGAAATGATAATTTTATTCAAAACTGTCTGCAGACATGTGTCTCATTTCAAGAAGAAATTCACTGAGAAGTGAACTTCGGTTCAAACCCTTTTGCTGTCTCATCCAGAAAAAAACCCAGCCAGTTCTTAATGAACAGGGCAAGGGTCCGACCTTGTCTCCTCCACCTAGTGGGAACACACCAAATAACAGGGCACCAAGAAAGAAAAAAAAGGGATTATAAAAACACATATTTGAACTTCCCTTACTAGCGAAATTCAAAATAAAATACTGGCAGCAGCCCCAGCTGCGACAAGGAGTGCAGCAACGTGAAGAGATGAACGTTTGGATGGAACGTAAGAAGCAAATCCTCCAGCGGAGAAGTGAATTCCATCAGCACATGGAAGGCGTACGTATGTAATGCAGCTTGTAGAACTAGATCCTCTGAGAAGTCGAGTGGCTTTAGCAAGATGCTATTTGAGGGTACGCAGCACTGAGGTGTGGGAACCACAAAGCCCCCAGAGAGCATCTTGCAGATTTAGGTCCCTAATGCAATATAAAACATTCTCGTTCCAGTTAGTGACCTGAGTGCTTGCTTTGGCTTAGTTTTTCCCTCAAGCTTTTGCTGTTAAGTTAATTAAGTGTTTAAAAATAACAGTTTCTCACTTCCCAGAGACTCCACATAAATACTACTCTCTTTTCTTCTAAGGGCCAGATTTTCTGCAAGGATAAATCAACACAGTTTCAGTGATTGAGGATCTGGCCTTAAAAGTCCATCCAGTGCATTAAAACCAGCACAGTGTGACATATGCCTTGGCAGTAGAACAATTCTCCAGATTAATATTTGAAGGAAATTTGGCAGTAAAAAATAAAAATAAAAATAAAAAGCTCTATTTTGAAATGCTGCCATTTTTTTAATCAGTGCTGACCACCACAGTTTCTTCTCTTGCAAACTGTACGGATACAGCCGGAGTTTCACTGTCGTTCTCCTCAAGCTTTAGTGCAGCGTTGTCCAAGCCAGTGCTGCTGGGCTGTGGCAAGGTGGTGGGTTCTGCAGTCAGAGTTGGAGTGGAGCAATACAAGATGAAGCCCACCATGATGATAACAAAGGACAGGATATAAAGACCTGAAAACTGGCAGAGGAAAGAAAGGAACACGTCAAGTCTTGTCTGATGCAAAAACATACAAATGCTGCTTTAAGAATGTAAAAAGCTACTCTTTCTTTTAAAAAATATTTTAATAAGGATTATCACCACAATCTGTATTCAGGTCTGAAAACCAAAATTCAATAGCTCCATTCACTGACAGACTCAAGCTGCTGGCTGTTTTTCTCTGCATCGCATCCTCAACACTGTTGGACAGGGAGTTTCCTTAGGTCTACACACAAGAATCTTAGAGAACAAACGGCTGTAAATATGGCGATGCTGAAGGATAGCTGTTCACGCACGTGAATGCTGAAACACTGTACCTCCGAGAGAATTTTGTTTCAACACAGCCAAGTATGGTCCTGGCAAGAGTTGAATCTCCGTCCTACTGCAACTCACCAGAGCAGCTGGTTCTCTGTACAACTCTCTCAATCATCTGCAGGGCTAGATAAATGTTATTAGTGGACCAAAACCAGTTTGCTCTCTACACCCAGCAAGTCCTTGATGAGAGGGAGACTGGGGCTCCTTTTACACGACTGGCATTTGTGCTCCGCTAGTGGTGTGAGGTAAGAGCATGAACTGCCAAGGCTCATCAGGCATTTGATCCACTATCATTCACTTCCTTCCTGAAAGTCCAACACTTGCTGAGATCCATCCACCCTGACAGAAAAATGAATGCTTACTTCATGAACACCAGATTCAATAATGCAAAGTGCTCAAGTTATCCACAGCCAGGAACACTTTTTCAGCACATTTGTTAAAATCCTCCATATGGCCTTTGCCAAACCGCACTGATTAAACATAGGATGGACGTAGTGCATCCAACACCCCACTGTCAATACTCCCTAACTTCCTTAGACGTGCCTGACAGGCATGTTCTAGTTTATCAAGCAGCAGAGCTGGATGAAACGAATGGCAGGATCTGTACAGTGGACTCTGAACCAAAAATGACTGTAGCATCTACAATTAAGGCAGTGCAATTCCTAGCTGGTAATCACTTGGATCAGAAACCCTTGGATGGCACCACGCAAAAGGAAAAGCAGATCGAAACACGCTGGCCTTGTGATATGTGTCCTCTCTCTTCACCTTGCTGGCTGTTTACTTGGAGGAGCTTGGACTCAAGCTTTCATTCTGCACAGGAGGAAGCATCAAGCTCTGAAGATGTCCTGAAGGAGGCAGCAGCAGCATCCATAGTCCTATCCCTGCCTGACCCATTCCCACCAAACAGGCAAAGCTTGGGTCTGTGTCACCTGCACAACTTCTCCAGAGTGCAACCTAAGGCCATGAGTGAACATGCGCTTGCATGCAAGGACACGCGGCTGGCAGGCGACACTGGGCGGTCACAGCACCTGTCACATCCCCTCTCGTAGTGGGTACAAGGCAGTACTGGTTCTGCTCAGAATCATTTCCTCTACGAGTGGACACAACCACCAAGGCAGGGGGCCGAAGCCGTTGCAGTGTAGCTGTGACTCAAGGCTTGCCCATGTGTTTGCAGCTATTGACACAGGTGAACCTTAACCCTGCTGCTCCAACAGGACTACCTTCGTTTGTTAGGTTTTTTTTAATTTCTTTGGGTTTTGGGGAGGGCTCAGTGGTCTTTCTGGGGTTTTTTCCTTTTTTTTTCCCCCCCCTAAACTTCAAATATTGCAGCAACTTCATTGCTTCAGACCCTGATTTTAATCATACCTGTGCAGCTTATATCCCCATAATCACTATGAAGCCTAAGGACAACTTGAAATGTTACTGGAGGACTGTAACTCCATCTAGTGTCTGTATATGCAGAAGACTCTCTTCCATAAGAGCTTATACAACAGAAACATTTGGAGACCTTAAAACATCTCTTGAGGGACTACAGGTATCTGTATATAATGAGTTTACTAGGAACAAGCACAGAAAAGATTCATTATGCAGTAAAAAAAACAAAAAGGGCTTATCAAGGCAGATACGTAAAACTCACATTACATCCTGAACAGACTCGATTAGGGCTGAAAAGTTGATGCATTAGTGAAACAATGTGCTCAAGTCAAAACCTCAAATTCCTGGGCTCAGTCTCTACTGCAGCCCCTGTCTGTGCTGCTTCTATCTCAAAAGAGGCTCAAACCACAGCACCTCAGAGCTCTCCATGGCTCGCTCCACTCTGCAGCCCGGCCAAGCCTTCAGTGGCTTGCTGCAAAACATCGTCTGGTAATGGTGAAGAGAGAGCGATTCCTTGTGGTTTTGTTCATAGATTCCTGAGTCCAAAGTGCTTTTTAATCCAGGAAATGTCCTGCCTGGTTTCTTTGCCCCATATGTAAAGAAACTATATGGTTAACTTGGCAATAGGATTTTCTACTGCTAAGTGTTACGATAAAAGCAGTGTCAAAATCAGGCTCTCCCAGTTCTCGGTTCCTAAGCTATCTCAGATCCTGATTACCAAACATGCAGCATTATTATTGCTCCCCTTTTTGCTATTTCATTGTTTCTAACCACAGATACAAGTTCCTATTTTAATAACTAACTGAAATTCTCTCATAATGCAACCCTAAAGTCTTCTCTAATTCATTTTTTCCTTTTTTGCTACCAGAATACCCTGCAGTTAGTAATTATGGGATGATCTGCTCCCAGAAAAACCTCTCCCCAGAATAAGATAAAATTCCTGAAGAATGAAATTTTATTCTATCCTTTCCAAAACTCTTGCTTACTTCTTCTTTACTATTATGAATATAAATTTATAATCACTTCTTGAGTTAAGCTATCTAGGTGCCAAAATACATGTTTGGAAGTGGCTTAGACAAGATGTTTTTAATTGTTAGAGGGTAAGTATGGTTGGCTTCCTACATTCATTTTTAATGGATGCTTTGAAGCCTGGAACAAATTTTGGAACCCAAAACAGGGAGGAAAGCTGAGCTAAGAGACTCCTGAAAAGGAAAATCTAGCTGTAGTCAGATCCTACCATTACCAGACCTCCACACTGTAAAATAAACTGGCCTGCACTTTCAGAAATAAATTTGACCTAAAAGCTTCTGGATCTCCATAATGCTGAAGAGAAAGCAACCACATGGAATAATACAAATTAAGTTATTAAGCAAAGTTCACAAGCTTCTCACTAAGCCCTTCCAGTCACTGAGCAACTGACTCTAAAACTCCAATTGCTGTAACGAGGTAGGTTCCCTCAAATGATTCTGGGTGAAAAGTGTGGGGTGGAATGAAATCTTTTTAACTGTGTCATTTAGCTTGAATAGACACTACCAAAATTATTTTAGGGAGCAATAAAAGTAACTGCCTTTTGGAGAGCATACAGAAAAATGTATTTATCTGCATTGTTTTCAGAAGAAAATAATAATTTCTGGAAATCAAGACAAACCGCTCCTCTCTCAGACACCTGTCCTGGTTTCAGCTGGGACATAGTTCTTTTTAGCAGCTAGAAGAGCTCCGTGCTTTGGTTTTAGTCTGGGATTCGCTATGAGAAGAATGTTGACGGCACACTGATGTTTATAATTGGTAGTGAGATATCAAGGACTTTTCAGCTTCCCGTGTTTTGCCAGTGTGCAGGAGCACAACAGGCTGGGAGGGAGCATGGCTGCGACAAAGAGGTCACAAGTGCCCTTATGATTTGAACTTAGATTTGTGATTGAGGGCCAAATTGGCTAATGGAATATTCCACATCATGCAGCATCATGACAAGTATAAAAATGAGGGTTAGCTGGAAAGAAGGGCCTTTGCTCTTCTGGGGCTCTCACTCTCAGACTCTCAGAGTGCTATCTCCCTCTCTCTCTTTTCGGGCCTCTCGCTTGTCCAGGATTGCGGTGTTGGGACTTATCTGTTTCGGGATCGTTAGTCCAGGACAAGACAGGCGTTGGTCAAGGGGTGGTGAGCAATTGCACCATGCATCACTTGTTTGTACATATTATTATCATTGCACATGTATATATTTATATATTAGTAGTAGTAGTATTAAATTGTTCTTATCTCAACCCAGGGGTCTCCTTCCCTTTTCCCCTTTGATTCTCTTCCCCATCCCCTGGGGGTGGGGGAGGGTGAGCGAGTGGCTGTGTGCGCTTTAGTTGCCGGCCGGGATAAACCACAACACCACCAAATGCCTTTCAGGACAGGGAGGTTCAAACCCCCTCACTGGACACTTGCGAGAGATGAACCAAATCTAGCATAGAGTTCCACACAGGGCTTATGGCAAGAACTCTACCCTTTGAAAAGGTCAGGAAATTATTTACTATCTATTAACATTAACTCTAACATATTCCATGAAGTGTGAAATCGTTTCAAAAATCACTATCCTCCTAATGATGCGACGCTATGTAATTAAGTATGACTTTCTGATTGACATCTGCCAACGATGAATGATACAAGCTGTGGAAATGTACAAGTGCAAACAATTGTTCAGGGGCTTTTAAGAACATTACGCTTTATTTATAATTTTGGAGTGAAAATGTAAATGAAATTATAGTGAAAGAAGGTACTTACCTTATAGAAAAAGAGGAAAAGCCCAAAGAACAGACTGTAGAGATCCGCAGTCAGAATACCCAGGTTGACCGAGGTTGCGCTGGTAACTTTAATCACCACTGGCATGAAGCTATACAGCCCGAACATACACAGGGCAAAGACTGTGAACAGTAATGCTGTAAAACGAGATGACTGTTTACTCCTAAGGCACGGAATAATGGTTCTAAAGAACACTGGTATTCTTCAGATGCTTAAAAAAAGTATGCATTTTTATCTTTTAGGATAAGGTCTCCTAAAAGATATGAGAATGCAAATTTAAGAAAAACACAGCAGAAATACTTCTTTTCCAAGACTACTCTGTATTCCAAAGCTTACTGTATCTATACAAGAAAGCTCTTGTTGTTCCTCGTTAACATTAGAGCCGACTGATGAAATTTAGAGTCACATTTCTTAATAACGTGCAGTACTGTTGAGGTCAAAACGTGTTACAAAATCCATTTTCTCAGTATTTCATCAGGGAAGGAAAACAGAAGATGTTCCAACACCAAACACGTCTGTGATTAAACAGGTTTAATTTTTACTTATTTCAATTTATTTTGAAAAATTATCTCATGTCATATGTGAAGTGCAAAACCTGAGCTCAAAAGTTTTAATGTTCAATCCTGCAAACCTTGTATCTTTGCTGAGCTGTAAAGTTTGCAGAAAACAAATCTGTGACGATATAATACGAATGCTGCTTAATATCCAGGGAAAGAAAATGAAAACTCCAGCATTTGAAATCTAAATGATTACCATTTTCCAGTGTTCCGTAAAAATGCACATCATTTTGTCATACACATACCAATTTTCCAGTTCCACTGAATTCTCGTTATCTCCCTATGTTCCACAATGGCTCTAGAGTTAGAGAAAAGATATAATATAGTAAAAAAGCAAAAAAAAAGGCATTTTCAAATAGAGAATTTAATTACCAGAATATGAGAAACATTTTAATCTATAATTCCTTTTTTTTTGTTTGAAATTTTATTGAATTACACTAACTCCAACATCTAACAAGCATGAAAAAGACTAGAAAATTGAGGTGCCTGAAAGTCAAGAGCACTCTTGTTTAATTCTTATGCCTTCTTCCCAGGCTTTTTCATCCTTCAGAGATTCAGTTTTATTTGATATACCATTGATATACCATTTACTAACTATAATGATGAGAAATGAGGAACACAAAATTCATTAGATACACTCTAGTACATGTGGTCTGTTAACGCCAACGTGGTTATTTGTAAGAGTATACATGGCTTCATTTTAAACTGAAGTTTATTATGGAAGAACTCCTGCTAACAATTATCCCTGAACTTTTCCACAGAGAAAATCCATTAAGAAATACGTTCTTGTGAACAGTCCTCAGCATACTGAGTGTTCTCAGGAAGATCAACATACAGCCAAGTATCATATGCATTCAATTGCGAGATTTCAGCTTTAGAATTGCTGTAGTAAGAGTACTGCAAATAAAAAGGATATAAAATGGATGCTGATCAGCAACAAAAATAAAATTCAAGTGGAAGGACTCCCAGATAGGCCAAACACAGACATAATAAAGAATTAATTTAATAACAACATCATCATTTCATGGTAGACAAGCAATCATCTGTAGAATATTCTTAATTAGTTTTAAAATAAATATTAGATCCTTACAGCTGTAGACCGCTGATAATAGTCCCAAACAAGCCCACCATTCCTAGAAACTCCACTCTGCTCAGATTTTTCACAATGTATTCCTCACTCACATTAGAAATGGCATACAAAGAAGCACCAAGAAGCACTAAGACATCTCCAATCACCACGTCACTACCTGTACAGAAATATTAATCCACAATAAGGGTAATGCTGTAAACACTTTTTCACTTTCCTTAAAAAGACAAGTAAATTTATCTCTAACATCTCTACCTTCCTAGCACCTTCCAGGGTCAGAGGAAAGGAAACATGTCCCCTGTGTGCAGATAAGCGGCTTGGTGTCAGAGCATGGACTCTGCCACCTGCTCACCTCACCCTGCTCAGTCCGCAATGAGCTAAACCCAGCATTTAAATCTCATCCTGACCAAGCCACTGCTGTACAGTCCAGTCCAATTCTACTTCTGCTGACCTCAGGCACTGTAGGGACTTGAAAAAACTCCCAGTTAGAGATGCTCTCCGCATTTCTGCATCTTGCCCCTACTTTTGCTTGAAGGCCTTATTCAAGTCTTGCTAAAATCAGTCTATTGATTTCAGGAGGACCTGGACTCAGCTTTGGTTTTATGACGGTCTAAGTGGGCACTGCGGATGGGTGGCATCGTGTGTCCTGCTGCGATTGATTTATACTGTGCAAATGGGGCTCTCTGTGATACAATCACTCATCAAGTAAATGCTGTTACACATCAGGTAAATAGCAAGAGGATCGCTGTTGTTTAAATCCTTGAATTGATTTAAAATTTCCTTCCCTGAGCCACTTGGCAATCACTAAGAAAATACGTCTGAAATATGGAGGTAGGCAGTAGTAAGGGTACCCAGGGTACTGAATCAAGTACAACTGTCTTAAAGTCTCAGGGAAAGATTTGTCTCCCTCAGGACTGAGATACTTGTACCACACAGTGTTAAAGCTAAACCTCAGTTTGTCCTGATGTCTTACCTACAAGTAAGGCCCCAAAATAACGCCAAACAAGCTTATTTCTGTGCTGCCTGATGAAGGCAATGCCCTGTTCCTCTCCTCCTGAAATCCACCTTGCCTCATACCCACTGGCTCTGGAAGAATTTTGAAATTCTTATTCAAAGTAATATCGCTATGATATGGGCTGATTTAGGCATCTGTCGTAGAGAAGACAAGACCCACTCTCATCTGTGCCCAGCTGGATCCCAGTCCCCAGAGCCCAGCCTCCCTCCTGCAGGTCCCAGGACTCCCGGCATCCCACTGGTGTCTCCTCTCGCTCTCCCGTTGTAAGCCCCAGCTTTCTAGGCTGTGGCCCATGGGCCTTGGGGATACACGGGCCATTTCTGTCGGGTCTGCCCGAGGTAACTCAGAGGAGTCAGCCTGCTCTTCAGTGGCTTTCGGTTTGCTACCTGTGCTCATAGAAAAGTGCACACGAGAGAAGGCTGGCTGCCAGCAGCTGCCACAGCGCAAACAGGACAAGGTGCGCAGGGAGAGGCAGCATCTTCTGTTAGACCATCTCACACAATTAGTAGAAACGAACAAGCTTTCAAGAACAAGGCCTTTCGTCAGGTCTGATGAACAGTGGCAAAATTTAAGCTTAACACAAGCATTTCTCTTTTAAGGTGGAAGATATAATCCAAATCTCCAATAAAGAAATCCCGCAGCTCCCTATCTAATCAGCCACTCTTCAGCCACTGTCTTCTTGGACAACAAATACAAATAGCAGCGTGTCTTTTCCTCTCCTCTTTTAAAATATAACTATATCCACTCGCCCTGCATTTGTTCCTCTTTCTCCTTTATAAGTTAGCCCACCACAGGAACCATCTCTCCGCTCTTTTTTTAAAGCACTCCTTACCTTCACTGTCCTGCCTCCCCGCCAAAATGTCAGCACCCACCATTGTTCCTACACCCAGCAAACAGACGGCAACAGCAAGAAAATGGATCAGCCTGTATCTTGCACGGAGAACGAACCACGACAAAGCCATCAGCACAGGAATCCCGAAACAGTCCAGCAGCTGTGTGTACAGAGAAACGGTCTGAATTAGAAATCCAGCCCAAATCTAGATCACACTATCCTGAAAGCAAATGCACAGGATCTTACTTTTGTCGCTATCAGATGTTAATGAAAGCTGCAAAGCAATCCCGGTGGATTTGTCTGAAAGAGGGACCAGACCCACATTTTACCAGGAAAAGCATTTTGAAAGTGAAGGAGGAGCTGGGGTGAGGGGTCGACTCTCTCCTGGTAGGAAGGCACTGATCTAGAAACTCTTCTAACGATGGATATAATCAATCTTTGCAGCTTCACAAATTAATCCTAGGACGTTGCTCTGAAACTGCGTTGCTCCCCATGACACCAATACAAAGAGGTGGTTCACCAACATTTCCTCTTCTCCCCAGCAGGTTTTGTCTAGCTCATCTTTTCACTCCTCTTCAAATCTGAAACTAGAATTTAGGGTTCCCTGTACACAAAGTAAAAATCTGGAACTATTAAAAGATACAAGCGATCTGATTTTACATTGAAGTGAGTAGGGCAAGAATCTGACCCTGCAGTTTTGATTTTGATTTTTTTGTTCCCCCAACTGGATCCTCCTGAAAAAAAAAAAAAAATTGGTACATGTGCTGGGAGCCACCTGCAAAACTGGCAGAAGGAAGAGAAGCACAACCTTCCTAAAGTCACCTTTCCAATTTTCCAGCTTCCCACAAAAGCATGTACAAGCCACCAATGCATTTTCATTGCTCTGTTAAGAGCTGACTCTCAGTCAGAAGCAGGTCACCCACTCTAGCTCACCTGTGCCCCAGCAGCACAGACACACAAGGGACCTGGAGTTTCGAAGCACTTTGGATGTGTTGGCAGACGCCGCCGCCCTGAGCAGACTTAATAGATAAGGTTCAAGAATGTCTGCACTCCATGGCAAGCAGTGACATCGACTTCTTCCTTTCTTCATCATTCCCTCTCTGCGTATTCCTAAAATCCTACGTATCTTTGTCTTGCTGTTAGACCCACCCATCTTCTACCCATTCTCCTTTATTACAGAAATATCAAGAGTTACCTGTGTACTTAATACAGAAAAACACACTACAGCGCAAAATGGGCATAATGTTCTAGAATAACTAAATAACATCGAAAACATTGAGCTAATCATAATTGGTTTAGTATTTAATTCAACAAAATAGATTGTTTCTGAATTTGTCTGGCAGAAAAAAAAAAGGTGTATTTTCTGACCTGCCTCAGTAGAGTTGCCATGAAACTATACAAGTGAACAGTCTACAGCAGAACATATAGTCAGCCTTCCAAAGACTGCTCACAAATTACTGTCAGCCCTTAAAACCTGGCCTCTTGAAGTCACTACAAATTATTAGGTCCAGGCCAACAGGACTGGGGTATAATCATTACAACCAAGACAAGGCCCTTAGTCCTTGATGTTCATTGTTAACTTCTGTCTGTCTAGGTGCACCACCACAGTCGTCTTCTGTACTGACTTCCATTAGTCCAGCCATCATCCCTAAGGGTTTTAACCAAACTCGGAAGACTTTCATGGTAATTTTGGTTTTACTTGTTCATAACTACACATATTAAAGTCTTACCAGCACAGCTTTAAGGGGAGTTATCATAGATTAAATTCTAATCATTCCACCTATTTGTCTTCACTCCTTGGATTGCCTCCAGCTTGTCCAGTTTGAGAAGTCTGGACAAAACAACATGCCTAGGCTGTATTAGAAGACACTAGAGCGACATAAGTCCCAATGTGTGATATCATATATTTCAATACAAAAAGTATCATGCTGTGAGTTTCTATCTAGTCACAAGCCTTTTACTCTACCTTATCTTTCATCTAGGCTAAAAAAAACTTTCTAACATTTCCTCTAAATTCGAATTGTTTCGACTAATATCAAACAAGTATCATTTATCTGTTTCTGCAAAACATACAATTTAGCTCTCATCTGGTTTTCCACCTTTGGTCTGAACCAGTTCTGTCCTGCATACGGAAATGTATTTGATATCTCTATCGTGTGAAGTTGCAATCATGGAAACTAAGAAATATTACAAAAATTAAAAAGCAAAGTTTTTACTCCCCTAGTAGCAGACATTTCTTCTCTTAATATGTAAGCTTTCACTTCCCCATTAATTGAGATGTTACCACGTAGCTTTTCAACCTCCAAGCAGTTTTTCAATCCAAATAGAAAGAGTGGAACAAAACTCTTTTTTAAAAAAAAAAAAAAAAAATCCCAATTGGATATAAGAGAGTAGTACATAAAGAGCCAGAAGCTCTTTCAGTAACACCAGATGGGGAATTGCTGCATCCAGGCCAATAACATACTGTAGAGCTACAACATCCTGGTTAGAGGACTTGCAGCCAGGACAGACAGGCACCAAATGATGAAGAACACGCCCTGGTAATCTGTTCCGAGGATAATTACCCTCAATTTCAGACAGAAGAAATCTAATTTCCAACTACTGAATCTTGCCTTCCCTTCATCTACTCCATTACAGAGCTCTTTGGTGGAAAACGCTGTCTTCTGTACAGGATCAAGACCAAAGAGGTGCAAAGCAGATGTAATCTCGCAATAAATTGTGTCAATGGAACCATTTAAAAGAATAAAGTTTAGTTTATTTATTCAGGTTTTATGACATTTACAGCAGTACTGATTACTATTGCCAGCAGAGCCTCAGCAAACTCTCATCTTATTCAAATCTAGCCTGTATTTTTACAAGGGAAAAAGCCTGGTGATTTGATTTACAGACGTCTTGACTCAAGCCAGGCTTTGGCCACAGTGTTTACAGGAGGTTTTAAAGGTAGGGTGAGTAACTTATTAAAAGATGTTTTAATATATGGTTAATAAATTATCATAGACTGTTCGAGGTCGTTGGTTTGCTTATAATTGCCAGCTCCAGACAGCTTTGCGAGCAAGAAAGCTCAACGGCTCATCCTGCTCACTTCCCCACACTGCTCCCTTAGGCCAGCCTCCAGCTGAGCCCCAGGGGCTCATCCTGCATTTTCTCCTGTCGAGGTTAACACTCTTCCATCAGCTGATGTTCTGTCAATAGTTGCCTAGAAAATGCCTCCACCTGAATTATCTACGGAGCAAATGCTAATTGTGCCTAAAAACACATTGACAACACAAAACCACAGCTACGCTGCTTGTTTTTTGCTATGAAATATGTGGTCACACAGCAGGACACTCAAGTCTTGCCACAAGACAGAGGCACATTGGCAGCAGGAAGTCTCCCTGGCACTGCCTCAGCCACAGCCAAACAGATCCAGTTGTGGCTCAAAGTATTTTTCTTTATTTACGGATGAATGAGAGCTGCTATGCCAATGTTATCTCTGTAAAAATCTCCCAAGCCCTTCCGTGCAATGCTAGTATTTGTTAACTAAAGGAAAATCAGTTCTGCTTTTGTGTCCGTATGTGAGAAAATACATGGAAGTTCCTTGCTGAGCTGAGAAAACTTGTCTTTGAAGGCAAGTTTCACAGGGCTGAGCAGAAGCTCCAGGCAGCCAGCATCTTAACAGTGATCACTCTCTATTCAGGAAGGTGCCATATGCTCCTGCATTGCTCTTATGCTCCCTGGGCACCCACTCACAGCCACCGCTGCAGACAAGCCATCAGGCTGGGTGCTCCGAGCCATAGGTTCTGATTTAGCTGCAGATAGCAAATGCTTTGGACTAGAGTAAACCACAGGCTTTTTTTGTCCTGTGTCTCATTTCTGACAGTGGTGAGAAACCGGAGACTTCAGAGAACATGCAAGAAACTCCACTGCAGCAGGCAGTTATAACCGATTCACAATCGCTGAACTAACACTGAAAGAAGCATCAGTCTGAAGGTCACCACATGGGAAGAAAGTTCTGCGAACGCTCAAGTCTGGCAATCGGACAAGATAACCTACAGTATCTATTCTGTCTTGATGTGTGTGAAAGAAATCATGGGAATAGCTTTACTACTTCTGAGAACTTGGATCAAAGTCCTGGCATTTTGAGCTGTAAAGTATATGATCAAACAGTGTCTCGATTATCAGCTTAACTTCATCTTGAGACTGAAACATGTCACTCTTAAAGCTTTGATTTCTCAGGCATTATTTGTAAGGAAATTATAAGCCTAATAAGCCACAGCACAAAAGTATGAAGTGTAAATGTGACAATAATAATCCAGCAGGCACATGCCACTGGTCTTTAAACAGTGCAAGGAAAAGTTACTGCAGTTCTCTAAAGGAAGCTCAGACCACAGGAGTTTATTGCTTTACAGGCAATTCTTTTAAATATTAACCCTTCTTAATTTGACTCTGTAAAACACTGACACCTAAACACTCCTTTCCAACTAACAGCTGATTCTGTACAGTACATTATTCTTTTATTCAGGTAAGCAGGGCCATGACCCCCGCCACTGATCCACCATCGATAAGAGCTGGCACAGCCCTGGACACACTCCACTCCCTCCTTGCTTCTGCACCATCCCCTCCCTTGTTCCACAGCAGCAGCAGAGGCAAGGAGCCCTGCAGGGACCTAACCGGGATCTAACACAGTTCGTCAACAGCCCAGCAAAAGGCAGGGTTTACTCTGACTTTGCTCAGTGCCCTGAGCCAGTTTGCTCAAGGGATTTGGCTGCACAAGCTCAGGAGCATGCAATTGGAGACAGGAACTCTTCCAGCAGCAAACGTGTGTGTAGGATAACCAAAGAAACCCCAGCCTTAGCCCTTCTACTCATAGATTTATTTCAGAACATGAGATTTATCATACTGTAACAATGCATCACTAAGCACTGGTGTTGCGAAGGAAGTTTACTGTCTCTTCAGGAGCCTGGCATGCTGACCTCCCTTTCACCTCTTCCAGAGAGAGGCCTGAACTGAAGTGCCACATCCAAAAGCCACAGGGTTGACCCCTCACTGTACGGTCACCAACACTGGCTAACTATCAGAATGTTCTCACATGTCGGGTTACATCTCACAACATCTCCCACAGCTTCTAGGACCAGGCAAGAGATCTACCTCACTCTCATCAGCAAGAACCTGTGCTGAGTGAGTGTCATTTGGTCCTAAATCTTCATTTTGTGTCAGAAGGAAAACCTCAGTGGTTGTCAGCAAACTCTCAGAAGTGCTTTCTATCAAAATAATTAGAGTTCAGCTCAGGAGCTGGCACTGGGTAATACCAGCCAATTTTCTCTGCTTCCTGGAAATGCTATTCCTGATGCAGGATGCTCTTCTCTGTACTGCAGAGAGAAAATAGATATTAGAAAGCTTTTTTGGGCTTAAATAGCTTCCATGTCTGTCTTATGAATCTCATTTCAGAAACCAGTCCAAAACTGCAATAAAAGCAACAGTTCAAAACCAGAGATCAGTCCTTACCTGCACACTTGTGAGGGTCGTATATTGGTAGGCTTTTACAATCGCGTAATTGGCTTCAACATCAGCCAGTCCCAAAAAAATATACTTCCACCACCTCTGTTTCAAAATTTGCCAAAGACTGTCACTGCCTGTTTAGAAGAAAGAGGCAATCAATACGTGTTTCTTTCCAACCAAGCATTGCACAGGAATCTTGCTTTTTAGAAGCATAAATAATACTGAAACGTTCGATTTTGGATGCCCCTGCTTAAGAAAGACACAAAAAACAGCAAAATGCAGCCTGGAAGGAAACAATGCAAATGGTGAAAAGCAGAGAAATTCTTCCACACGAGGAAAACACCAACAAGACCAGAGTTGTTTAAAGAGTAAATTAATAACAATAGGAGGAATATTAAATAGCCTCTGGTAAAGAAGCCTGCTACAACAAAGCCTATTTTCGCTAATATAACATAGGACTTGAAACCAAAGAGCACATAATTTTAAACAGATATGAAATGAAATCAAATTAAATGCACATTTAACCTACGAAATTCATTTCCATGTGTTATTACAAGGCAGAAATTTCAGGAGGAACTTGAAAAAACTAGCACAAGTATTAAGTTCTTTAGTTTCAAAATCTGAAAGGAAAATGTAGAAGAGGAAAAAAATGATGAACCAGAATCTCCCATCCCATATTTCACATACCAGTCCTAAATGCCAGCATTGTTGTATACACTAGAAGTAGCAAAGAATAGTTGATAAAACTTTGAAACATTGGAGTATTCACTTGGTATTGTTCTGCTAGGTACTGGCTTGTAACAGCAGTCCCACAGATAAACAAAGAGAGCATCTGGCCCAGAATTATCGTTTTCAAAATATGCCTGTGAATATAAAAGACAACATAGTCAGCTTAAATGTTCATGGTTTTAAAAAAAAATAATTTGTTAGTTGTACAAGGAAAATGCCATTTTTTAGATTGACACATTGTTCTTTTTCTACTTCCCATCAACGTTGTTCTGACTTACCAGTAAGCAGGGTTTTGTGAACACAGAAGATCTAGACTAACCTCATGACAGCCATAGAATAAGTGAGGCCAGTTCAAACCGCCAGTGATGAAGACTGCAATAATTTGCAAGGATCTCCAAGCAGCTCACCTGCAGGATCTACTCTCATCAGCAGGGATTTTGATACACATGGCCCAAGTTAAATCCTTCACCCTCCACTGAGTCCTGTTCTGACTTTGGTCAATAGAAATCTGCAACATGGAGATAAGGCACAACTGCCTTCAGGCTCTTCTGAGACCCGAGCCTTTGAAAGTGAGCTGAGACCCTAAGCTGAGCCACGCTAGGGAAATACAAAAGCATTAACCATAGAATCATAGAACAGCCCGGTCAGAAGAACTTCGAAAGATAACCTGGTCCAATCTTTCATGGGAAAGACAGTTTGGAAAAAAATTATCTAGCACCTTGTCCAGTCACATCTTGACAACCTCCAGTGGTGGGACTCCACTACATCACTGGGGAGGTTGTTCCAGTGATTAATTGTCCTCACTATAAAAAAATTCTTTCTTATAAGAATTGTTATAATTAATACTTATTGTGGAATTTTTTCTGCTATATGCCATCACATCATGCTGTAATTGAGGATGGAGTTAAAAACATGTTTTAGCCAAAGATCATGTTAGTGTTTACTACTCCTTTAAGTCCAATCCACAGCTAGCTAGGGAAAAAGAAAAAAAGGCTCACGCTCTTTTAGTAGCAATTCTTCACCTAACATAAAGCGGCTATGAACTATTCCAGGTGTTCCTAGACAAACAGGAGCACGCGTAGATTGCAGTGTATCTTTTGACTTGCTGTTTTTGCTGCCAGTGGGGCTATCCAGATTTGTACCACCCTGGTCTCTGCCTGCATACTCACAAGATACAGCGAGAGGGGCTCAGTACTCTGCTGTCTGTACAGGTCTGCAAAGTTCGCATCTAATTTGTTTACTCTGAAGACTACTGATGAGAATTTAACCATCTGCACAACCGATTCATTCATTCCTACTCAACATGACCGAGCAAGGAAAGAAAGCCTTCCATTAGGATTCTGCACCTACCCTGTGCCCACATCTCTCTGCGATGATTTCTGGCAGGACACCCACATGCCAGGCACACCACCTGACAGTAACACCACTTGTTTTCCCAAGGCAGGTGATTTTAACGTAGTAAATATCAGCTCACTCAGCTATGCTGTGCAATCCGGCTGTTGGGCAACAAGAAGGGTGTGTTCAAGGGTGCTAAAGCCAACTACAGTCAAGCCTTGAACATTGTCACTGTGTGACAATCACACAGTCAATCCCTCCTTTTGGAAGGGAGGCATCTTCTTTGCACGGATTCTAATTCAGCTACATGAATCTCATTTCCAATTCAGAGTGACAACGAAGGTCTTCTGACTTTAAAAACGCCACTAGGCACATATTTCTCTCCAGGTCCATTTTGATGGGACAGCAAATCTCGGCAAAGTCCAGCCACGCTGCACTTCCAAGAGATTTGAGCCCCGCATTTTGCTACAGCTTGCCTTGCACATCTATGTTGTAAATATTCATGTATCATTTGACAATCTTGTAAGGTCCCATCCAGCCTCATATGAACAACTTCCTGGTGCATGAGAGAATGAACATTCTCATTTCTAGCATTGTGAACGTTGAAGTAAGCAACAGAGACCATATTTCAGCTAGAAATTTATCATGGCTACTTTGTAGCACAGCGCTAACTGTAAATAGTGCTATAAAACACATACATGTATTTTTATATATATATATGTATTTGTGCACAAAAAAAAACCTTTGAAGCTACCTCACTTCTGTTACATCAAATTTCTCTCTATTCTGGTCAAAAATCTGATTGCACTATTTGATGAACAAATCGATAATGATCATGACACATTCTGGCTAATTACTCTGACTGATGCAGAAATGTCTTTTTACCTTCATCTAAAGAATTAATTTAATGAGGTGTCACATTAAGAAGAATGTAACATAGTTCAGCTAGAATTTCCAGGAGGAGACTACTTCTTCACTCAAGCAGGCAGGGACGATGGTTCCAGTTCATCCTTCGCCAGCCCTGTGGACTCTGGCTCCTTTGCAGGAGCTAAGATGACAGAAGACCCATTGAAATTTCAAGGAAGAAATAACATGGTGAAGGACACACGAAAAAAGTGGTTTCAGGTATTTAAAAAAAAAACACCACATATATTCTTTTTATTATTCAAATAGAGAGTCTCTTGCTCCAAACTAGCAGAAAATATTTCTTTACCCTCAGTGCAGGGGGCACAGAGTAAGCCTTTAGCAATTTATTAGACTAAACTCACCCCATGCTTGGACTAGCTGGGTGGAGGGTGAGGAGGTGGGGATCAAACCTGAGTAGAAGTGTGACTGGGCACAACTGCTGCAATTTTACCAGAGCAAAGCTGTGAAGTCTGCATAGTCCACAAAACAAATTGCGCTCATCAGTACTTCACCAGGAGAAGTTAAAGCTGCCTTGGCTGGCAGAAGCCCTGCTCTCCTGGATGCAAACTCCCCTTCACCCATCTCGTAGGCGGTGCCACAGAGACGGGCAGAAGCACGGGCAGGACTCCACAAGCACCTGGCTTGTCTAACATGGACTTGTGTGGGGCAAGGTTTTAAACATTTTCCTCCAGGATATGATATGCAAGAGGTAGCTGTGCTTCTCCTGAACTACGGCACCCTCTCTATAGCAGAGGTCGGGACTCTACGCACACAGTGTTTGGGCAAACCCGAGAGCGACCACGTTCCAGTGAAAGGGTAAAAGGGGGAAAATCTGCTGCCATTCAAATTTGCTAACAACTGATCAGCTTTAACCATCGTTTATTAAAAACCAGAAAGACCCTGTTGCCCTCTTGCAGTGCAGTAACTTCACTAAGCTGACCCTCAGCTTTTCTAATAACTAAGTTTTCCCAGTTTGAAGTACCTAGGGAATTATTTCCCTGTCTTTTTGCATATGGGAAGAGATGCAGGTCCAGAATCTACAGGACTGTTTGCTTAGTGGTTACTGCGCCAGCAGTCACTGCCATTTAGTTAATGTATGTCTCGGCAGTAGTACAGCATTTACTTCTACAGTGCCGAAGGCATCTGACAAGGAAAGCAGGCTTCATCCTGTCTCATTCCCTTCTTTATTTTTCTCTATTTTAATTCAGGGATTTTTTTTTTTCTTCCCTGAACGGATTCAAAATGCGAAGATCAAAAAGAGCTGCAGGAAGCAGCAATGGTTTCCCCTTACACCACTTGCCAAGGTGTTAAAATTAATCTCTTCAAATTGCAAAGGTGATGCGGGTGTTCCCGGCATGACACGCTGGGCTCCAGGCAGCAAGACAGCGGGGTGACCAGAGTGAGATGACCCTCATTAAATGTGGGCTCAGGAGCCTTATTATTTCAGTGCCCACTAAATTCCCACAGCAAATCTGAATAGTGCTTGATCCTCTGTAAAACTTGAGAGCAAACTCTAAATCCTATCGGTCTCATTTTGCAAGACAATTCCTTGTGAAAAGAAGGCTTCGAGTTTCCATCCACTCGGTATTGACATGAGTATCGACGACTGATTTTTCTATTAATAATTTATCATCATTTTTTGAAATATGTTAATTATTAACTTTTCCATGTCAGAACTTGATCCTCTCTGCTCTTCTTTAATGCATTGGTAAGGACTAAACCACTTTGTACTCTCAGATGACGCAAGGTAAGTGGTCTAAAATGGCCTTTTAGTTTTATAGCTTGGGATGTTTTTTTGGGTTTTTTTATTGCTTGGTTGTTGGCTACTACGTAATTACTCCTCCTCTCCCTTCAGCCACCATATCTTAGCTAGATGTATCTATGGCTACAAGCAAAACTAGGAGTATTTTGGGATTTTTTAAAACATGAAAGTTGGCCACAAATTGGTCTAAAGCTAGCACTGAACAATGTGCAGCTCCTGACACCATGAGAAAGTCAGGCTGGGCTTTCTTCAGCTCCGTGTGAAACACTGAAGAAAAATACCCCAATATATCAAAATACATTCAGAGCCTGCATCTGAGGAAATTAAAGAAAATCTAATAACCCCCTAGTTAACAATTTTATTGGCTATTAGTTTAATAAATCCTATAATTTTAATGTGATTTTTTTCATGAAAATAAATATAGCTTTTCAAAAATTAAGTTTATTTATGTCACCAGTTAAATACTAACAGGCAAAGCCTGGCAACACTCTTCACAGCCAGTTTATTTGCACTTCAGCTTTAACTACTGAACCCTTCCTGAACGGGGGCGGGGGGGGGAAGGGAAAAGAGACTAATTCATTTGACTAATCTAACATTTTCATGCAAGCAGTTAAAGAAAAACGTGGGTTCAGACTGAAGCCATATTTCCCTATGACTAGCAGATAGCTCAGGATGGGAAAAAACATTTTTAAGAGCTAACATTTTAGCGGTTAGTGTTTCAGTGTGTTCTGCTTTGAAACTTTACAATTTAATTTGTAAAAGGTAAGAAACAGAAAAGAAAGACTTGTTTGGTTTCAAGTTTGGTTTGATTTTACTCAAATCTAGCTCGTTACATACATGTATTAAACTTCCCCATGACTCAGAAAGGTCTCTACCAAAACTGACGTGGCTGAGCCTCCAGCCAGCTAGGAAAAAAAAAGAAAAAAAAAAAATCAACAAAAAAAAATCAATTCAGTGTCTCAGACAAGACTTTGCAAAACTCGGTGAGAGCTCATCAACAGACTCCCTCAGTGTAGCCCTCTGGCAACATTTTGGCAAAACTACTAGCACAGGTGGGGTTATTGAACAGTTCAGCCAGGTCCTACCTTGTCTTTTTGTTTTTTTCAGGCAGAAAGAAGGAAAAGAGAAAAACTTAGAACCAAGAGAGAAAGGCAGGCTC